GTGGAGTAAATATTCATGACATTGTCAAATTTATGGTAAACTGACCTCACAGTGAGTCGTAGTTATGTGTGGTGAGGACAAAAGTAATCCAGTCGCACAGAACATGCATCAGTACTGTTTCATGTTTCATGCACTAACCTAAATATAGCACAGCAAGTGAGTGATTATAGAGGAAAATGGTATGTGTGCAAGAGAGAGAGAGAGCATGAGAACTCTCTCTCCTTGGTCCTCTCGGCCCTGTTAACGCAGTCCTTCTGTTCTGCTCCTTTGTGACATTCCTGTAAACGCTGCTCCACTGTGGGCAGATTACACTTTTATTTTGGTCTATGTTAAACAGCCATCAATATTTATGATGTAAACACACATATTCCCCACTCAGGAGAATAACGCAGACATGCTTTAAGTGGCCACATGTCTGCTGTACACAAGGGATGTGCATGCATGTGTGTGTGTGTGTGTGTGTGTGTGTCCATGCATTTGTGTGTGTAAGTACATATGAGTGCCCTTTGTCTCTAATCTATCCCCTTGAGGTTCTGCTGTGTGAGGTAGCAGGGAAGCTAGCATAATAAAGGCCACATAAGCTTCTGACCTGCTCTGCAGTTCAGCAAAAAAAAAACAGTGATATGGTCTAAACCCAAGAGAAACATGACCCAAATAGAGCCACTACTACATACTGTATACACCTATAAAGAGGAAGCACAACACCACAAGCTGAAGTACATACAAGTAGGAGTATTACTTAAAGTAGGAGTATTATTTAAAGCTGTACTATGTGCAGTTTTTTTTTTTTTAATTGTAAGAAGTAGCATTACTGAGTCAGTGCTGAAGCGAGACCCCCTTTAAAGCCTGAAATAATAATCTAAAAGCCAGAGGCGTGGGGTTGGATTTTGCAGGAGTTTTTCTTCACATTACACACACACAGGTTCAAAAAGCTCAATGTTTAGTTCTCAAATGCAAAATAGAGGTCTGCCCTCCTATGGAGTTCCTGCTGGACCTGCGAGAACCACCACAATATCTTGCGACGTGAGACCTATTTTAAGTGTTGCGCATGTGAACAGGCAGGTAAACAGCCCACTGCATGGGAGCGGGATGAAGCATGCATGAAGAGAAATCCCACAAATTAATGAATGGCCTAAATAGAGTAGAACAAGCACTAAATAAGTCAAGTCAGGCTTTATTGTCATATCAGCTATATACAAGTACACAGTGAAATGAAACAACATTCCTCCAGGACCATGGTGCAACACAGGAACAGAAGTGCAAGACAATAATATATGTATGTATATGTATATTATATGTAATACTATATATATATATATATATATATATATATGCTAACAGTAAAACAACTAAAATGAATGAAGTGAAGTCATTCTAAAGAAGTTGCCACTAGGCAAAAATGGCTTCCATGGGACAGCTGCAAGGCGCAAACCACTGCTGACCAAAAAGAACACAAAGGCACATCTCATATTTGCCAAAAAAACATCTAGATGACCCCTAAGACTTTTGTGATAATATTCTGTGGACTGATGAATCAAAGGTGAAACTTTTTGGAAGATATGGGTCCTGTTACAGCTAGCATAAAGCTAACACCGCATTCCACCTGTAGAAGATTGTCACGCAATGGATCATTGCCAACTCATAGAGAAGATAAATTTTAAAGATTTTTCTTTATCAAGTTTAATGTGTAACCATAACAACCCTAGTGTATAGTTTATTGTCTGTGTTGATTGTGGTTATTGATTTTTGTACTGTTGTCACTTGTCCTCTTTTCTGGTACTGTTGCATCTTAAGTGTAGTAGTGTTCTGGAGAGGAACTATATTTCATTCCTCTTTCAGCACATGACTGCGATGAGAAAGGATGTCAACAATGTTTAACTCGATATGCCATTACTTGATATTCAGGGTAACTTAAATATTTGCTGTATGTTATTAATAACTCTGCAAATGTGTTATACTTATGTCATAATTTTAAAGCTCCAGTGAATCAATTACGTTGCAAAACTTCATATTCACATTAGCTTGTCTTTCTCTCGCACATTCCCTCCTACTTCTTCGCCCTTCTCTCCTGAGAGACTGAGCCTAATGAGGGTTAAAGGGGAAACCTAGTTGCCTAGAGCCTAACCACTTTTTCCATTCATGCTGGAAATTTTCCAGAGCTATTTATATGAAGACTTACAAGGCTAGTAATTGACTTTCTGTTTCCAGAGTGGAGTAGGTTAGACTCAGACAGAATACAACTCATAGAATGAAACCTACGCAAAACCTGGTTTAGTTCAGTAGAACTCTAATCTCACTTACGCCTCTGGATGCAAGTTCACATTTTTTCTCCTGCTGGACTAAGCAGAATCTTCCAGACACCTCTATATTAGAGACACACTAAATCATTCACTACTTGTAGTAAGCAATGACGCTTTGAATGTCATTTATCTCTTATGGAAATACACCTTAAGCATCCATTCTAATAATACATTTCATTATCCACACATAATATTTACAAAGCCAGCCAAAATCAAAACCCTTTAAAATCCAGTGTTCAATAGAGCTTTCAGCTTGATCAAAGGACAGCAGAAAAAATAAAAACACAACATTTTATTGGCTCACTCTCACAATTGTGACACAGATGGACTTGTAAGATATGGACAATGCAGCTCTAATAGCACATCAAAAGACAGACTGAATTACACAGTGAGAGAGGAGAGAGAGAGAGAGAGAGAGAGAGAGAGAGAGAGACAGAGTACAGATCACAAGCTGCAGATGAAAGGTGTGGGGGTGAAAAAAAGAGAGAACGTTGTGGCATAGAACTGGCCCCTATAGTCATACGGTGTTTCCTGATGCCCCTTCACACACTGCAGTGTCCTCAGCACACTTCACACTATAGTACCTCAACTCAAACAGAAACTCTGTGTTTTTGATCCTGACCTCTTCTATTATGTTGACGCACTGTACATGAAGAATATTCTACAAAAGTACTGCAAAAGCCCCTAAAGTCTGTCCTGATAATCCAAATGATTTCATTTTTCATGGTGAATCTAGTATCCTCTAAAGGCTGACGCTCTAGACTGAGATTACAATCAATCTGTCCGTACGGGCCCGCAGCACTGTAGTCTGCTTAATCTGATGAGCTCATTCACTCACTCCTCTCTTTCCCTCCAGCAAAAGTGCATTATTGTCCCCGTGCGGCCCATGCTCCTGGAGAGACATTAAGCACCTTAACCACTGGAACAATGTGAGCAGAGCAAGGGGCTGACGCAGCTTTCGCTGAGCGGGGTCAGGAAAGAAAAGAACACAGCCGGCCTAACTCTGCCCCAGCCTGCACTCTTACCATATGAAGGATATAAAAGGATGTGTTTTCTTACCACATAACACACATGCTTGTAAGTGACTGCAACTTAGGGACAGTGCAACTTTCTGCCATTTGCAGCATTGTAGGTACAAACTTCTGCCTGGGTCACTCCTGGTTCACAGTGAGAGAGCTCTACCCTGCTAGCCCAGCAAACTGAAACTTGAATTGCTCTCTCTCCCTCTTTATTTATTTAACTGTCTCTGGATGTATGTCTTTGTGTCTGTTTGACAATGTATGTAACATGAATGGGTGTCTGGACTGCACAACTGAAATATTTTCAATTGTAAGCTGCTGTGTACTCTTAGTTACTGTGTAACCAAAGACAAATTCTTTGTTCATGCAAACATGTTTCGACAATATAGCCCAATTCTGATCCTATCTAGGTGACTGCTTATCTACTTATCCATTTAAATATTCATACTTACTGTTGGTGGTAGACTGGGTTTGGTTTGGGGGGAGGGGTGTTGCCATTTTCCCCGAGTCAGACAAAAGACAAAAACCCCCTTGTAAAACTGCCACCACCCCCTCTTTCTATCTCCTTTGGACTAATGTCATTACATCACATATTTTAACACCTAGTTGCCTTTGAAGAAATCCACAAAATCAAAAAAACAAAACAAAAAAAAAAAACAAACAAAAAAAGACACACACACACACAAGTCACTGTAAGGCTGTCACAAGTACATCTACAGCCCATGACCACTACCCCACCATATCCATACAGTTTAATCACTGCCAGTAGATAAAAGTTTTAGCAAATGTTTTAATGTTATTCCTTAATATCCATTTGTTTATGTACATTCACATCTTTTAATTTCGTTTTTTGTTTCTGGCAGCAGAATGTCAAATTATTGACCTGTGAATTATTTTGAAATAATGACATTTTCTTGAAATTACTTAATATCCCAAAGCTAATGATTATCCCCAAAAGAATTGCTTACTTTATGAAATGTAATAGTAATTATGTCCAGATATTAAAAAAATATTTAAAAATAAGTAATTTCATCAAAATTTTAACATCCTGCTGACAGAAACTGCGAAGGAGAAGAAAAGACCACAGGTGAATTTGCTCCTCTAAAAGGGGGGCTTAACATATAACATCACTAGAAACATGGACGAGTCAAAGATCTTGTCCATAACTTAGCTTTATTAATTTTTTGGAAAACACAGTTCTCTGGTTGGCTCACGGTTCTTACTTCTAGCTGCTCGTGTGCTACAGCAACCCACAGCCCTAGCAGTTCCTAGCCCCGCCCTTCACAGTAAAAGTCCATGCAAAAGAACTGTATATAAGAATTGCTAGCGAACTAAAATTAGCATGCTCCATCATTTTCTGAACAGGCTACCCTGTTAGCCTTAAACAAAGCAGGACACAGTCGTGCTCTGCCGCCGTACCGAGACTTTGATAATACTTTCATACCAATGAGCACATTGTAAGCGCGGACATCTAATTGCTGTGCTATAACTCGGTAATAACAAGACCAAAAAAAAGGCTTTGCTGCTCAGAGACAGGCCGACCGACAGGGGGCCTCAGTGAGCCCAGAGCAGGAACAAGCCGTACTCACTGCCCCCGCCTCTCCGTGCGAACTTCGGGGGCTGGATATTTCACCAGCTGCGCTTCTTCTACACTCTCTCTTTCTATTTCTCTCTCTCTTTTTCTCCCTCACTCCCCTCCCCCTTGTTCTCCTCCCCCGCTAGCTCCCTCGCGCTCTCTCTTCCTCTCCATCCTCCTCTCGCGCTCAGTCTCTCAGCAGTCCGCGTGCCTGTGAGAGGAGCCACCGCAGGGGCCGCATCCATGGAGCGCCTCTTCCGCCCGCAGCCTCTTCACTTCGTCCCGTTACAGGCTGCGATGATATAGGAGAGAAAAAGAAGCCGATAGCGAAACACGCCGCGGTGTTCCAGTTCGGGCCTTTCGACACCTCGTCTGAAACTTTTCTCCGTTTCTCGGTTCCCGTCAGTGCTGGCGATGCTCAGCCCGAGGAAGGTGAACGCGAAGAGGAGGAGGAGGAGGAGAAAGGAGCTGCTGGCGGGGCAGCTGTGCCTCATGGGGCTCCTGCTCGCCATGCTCTCGGGACTGGCAACTTTGACCCAAAACTCCGGTGAGTGTCGCGTTTGTCACTTTGCTGCAACGGCGGAAACGTTTGCGACTCGAGGCGAGGCGAGTCGAGTCGAGGGGGGTGATGGAAAGTTGACCAGTGTTTTGCTGGCTTTGCTGGTTTGGGCAGGAAAAATAAAGGGGCTGCCCGCACTTTCAAGTCTGATTCCACGCGGTGTAGCAGCTGTGCTGCAGGCTGTACGCCGTGTTTATTTGAGTGAGGAGTTTGAGCGGTGGAAGCGGGAGGGAGTGAACACGCTGCTTAAAACAATAGGCCAAATGTGAAAAGGTGCAGAGCGATACAACCGCACATGTGGGTTTAATAAGAGCTCGGGTTGTCGCAGCGCTCATTCTGGGCTCGGAGAGTTGGGTGGTTTGAGTCAACTACAATTATATCCATGTTTTAGAACAAGATACGACATTGTGAAGTGAATGGAAAGTCAATAATAGATACAGTAACACTGCAGGAGGTTCTTGTACGAATCTTAGAGTAAAATTAGCACATTTGCTATAGTTTGATACATGACATTAGACCGTTTTTATACATTATTCTGCAGGAATATTACAGATATGAAAATATTTTAGGTCATTATAAATGTATACAACCTTATAGTGTATTATAATGTTACCATAAGGGTGAATGATGATTGTCGACCACAGTTACAGTAATACTGTTGTTGATAGTGGCATAGAAGGTTCAAAGGTTCAGTCTACATACTGTGGAGAGGACTTGAAATACAACCTGTGTAGTGGAAACACTCCTCACTCATTTCAGTGACAAGTGATCATGCAGATGAGACGCATGTTGATGTTGGAATCATGTCAGTATCAGCAGATAATTGGCAATAAAATAATAATAAAAAAAAATCTGACCAGTCTTTAGACTTGACATATTTCACATATTTGACATATTTGATATTTCAAACCGATACTTATTGACGTATTTATTGTACTCTGAAAGAGCAGAATGTTTAGGTGGTGCTGGGCTGCTGTACTGAAATGACTGAGGCATTGGCAGATGTGTACATGTAAAGTGTTGGGCATCAGCACATAATTCTGATATCGGTGCATCCCTAACAAAAAAAAAAACATAAGCAGTGCTGGGCTATTATTGAGCCCTGTAACGCATTTTTATATGCTATTGGAAGCACCCTGTCATTAATTTGAAAGGCATATCTTTCCGACATCTTTTTAAATGATGGATTCTTGTGAAGTAGGCTGTAAAATCATAAATTGCATCCCGGCATTATTGTTGCAGTATGTGTGATGTTACATGTATTGCATCAGTCCCAAAGCTCACTTCATTATTGCTAAGTTATTTGCTTCTATGAAAATTCTGTATACGTTATTTAGCTTAATGGTAATAGGCAACATGGCTTCTATGCATGCCTTTCCGTCTCCTCCTGTTTTTCCCCATTCAGTTCTTTACAATAAGGCTTTAGGATAATCACAGTTCTGAATGTTATTTTCATCTGGAAACATGCCTTTGAAAGCCATCATCATCTCCTGTCTCTAATGTCAGCAAGCCACTCTCTTTACTCATATGTCGCTGTATTTGTCGGCCCTGAAGCTGACAAGAGCATGATATTATCAAAGACAAAACACATGTTGCCATGTAATTTTGTGCCTGTCCACTAATGGGCACTTCATGGAATGTAGAAGATTAACTGGTTATGTAAGCTAATGTGTCATTGACATTTGATGTTGTGGTAAGGTTGCTGGGTGAAAATGTACAGAGTATTTGCATTTGAATGTATGGTGTAGTAGACTAGTCCCTGTTTGCAGTGTTGGAGAGAGAGAGAGTGCTTGTGCGATGGGCTGGGAGAGCGCTGTTGTGGACAGCCTAGCAGGCGGCAGAGAGACGGATGCGAAGTGACTGGGCCGTCAGTTGCTGCTTGGCGCTCACGGAGACGCTCCCTAATTCAGCGCTGCATCTGGGCCAGCTAGTCCCTGCAAAGGCAGCCTTGGGGCCAGCCTCAGAGAACAGTCTCCCCCTGAGAGCAGTGCACAAGCCAGGGACGGCTTTTGTCCTCTGTTTAATTCAGTGGAACTGCGACTGTGTCCGCATTGCATTTTTCTTTGGCTGTTTTGTTGTGGAGAGCAGTTTTTCTGAGTTTTGGGCTTTGACAGTTTATACACCTTTGTGTTGTTTTTGCCATTCCTCCCTTCCTCCCCCCCATTTCTTTCTTTCGCTCCCGTTAGCGCTCTCCCTCAGACGTGGGTAATGCCGCCGCGGAGCGCAGCTGCACTCAGGTGCTTCCTTCTCACACACCAATGCACCCATCAGCGAAGTGGACGCAGAGAGAGAACGAGAGAAAGAGAGAGCGAGCGAGAGAGGGAGTACAGTCCGCCTGTCTGCTGTGATTTTTCACATTAAATCCTTTTGGTGTGGCAAATTTGGTTAGTCCGTGCTGGATAACAGTGTGAAGGATGAGGGAAGCAGGTGTAAGAGCAGTCTCAGAGATATTCTGTAGAAGTGGCTGAGGTATATTAGAGTAAAGAATGCTTTTACCTTGCTAAAAAAACAGGATATTGGCATGTCATTTGCGGGTGAGGAATTTGGAACGTCTTTTCTGTACATTTTATGATATAACAGGGTGATTCACTCGTTCATTATCCATTCAAACAGAATATACTTTGGAAATCTAAAAAAAAGCACTGAAATAGGAGAAAACTGTATTATGCTTTCAGTGGTCTGGTCTCCTGAGAATAAGATTAAAGTAAGGCCTCCGTCTTTATGTAGTTAAAAGCGGAGACAAGACTCTTTTGAGAAATGTGGCTTTTGTCCCTTGAGAGGGGCCGGCAAGCCTGACAGATATTTGGTCGGTTACCTGTTCTTTTTCTCTCTCTCTTTCACTTTGTTCTCATCGCCTCATTCATCATCTGCACTGGCCGACTGCTGGCCATCTCCACTTTATTATTTTAGCTAGTTTTACACCATGCTGGGCCACTAGCATGACAGCCAGCCAGTCTTAGATGAATGACTTCAGATGGCATTCAGTCCTGATGGCACTTTTGAGCCACACGCTGAAATGGAATGCTTGGAGTAAGTCATCACTGCTGGGAGAAAAAAACCTTGAAAAAATCTATTTCTGTTTTTGCGTGAAAGAAACACTACCTTACCAAGCACATACCTCTGAAATACTGCCGATTTAAAGAATAATTCTGACAGTATAAATGTGTGAAGGCATGTTTGGTGTCTAAATTTGGATTCTTTAATCTAGCGCTAGAGCTATAATGCTAACGTTGCTAACAAAAACAAGAAGTCAATCGTCACCCAGATATTTTCCGTAAATACATCCCCAACACTTCCCTCAAATCACATCCATGTCGCACAGACTTATCGTTGTGGAAGGGCACATTTTGACTTTCTGAGAAGTATAAAAATGAAGAGAACGGGCTCCGGAGTGGCGCGACCATCTAAGCGTTCGCCTGATGAATAGGAGATCCCGGGTTTGATCCCCAGTGATGCTACTGCCATCCGTGGCGACGAGTCCAAGAGAGCACAGTTGGCCACGCTCTGGGTGGGTAGGATGGCACCCCACTCTCCCCCACTCACTCAGCACGATGCTAGCCAGAGCAGGCGCCTGTTAGCTGATGTAAGAGATTGGCGGTTGGCACTTTCCTCCGAGTGCGTTCATCTGTCCAATGACGTTGTGTTAGCGGCAGTTTGAAAAGATGGGGTGGCTGGCTTTACAGGTCTTGGAGGAAGGGCTAGGAGGCCTGCGCTAGCCTTCGCCCTCCTAGCGCTGGTGGTATCGTGTTATTGGGGGAGTCCTAACTAGTCGGTGGAATTGGATACGACTAAATTGGGGGAAAAAAATGAAGGAAACCGTGTAGCTGAATGCTTCAGACAGCCACTTTAGACAACGAGTGTTGTATCGAATGTTGTATGGTGACTGTGCAGGAAGAGCAACAGTCCCGATGAACATCTCTAACTTTCTAACGTTCTGAACTGTACAGGTTTCATGCCTACCTGTATGGCTACCGCTGTGTGTAGAGCCAATTCCGTCAGCCCAAAAACTGTTGACTCAGTGTTTCCAGCCATCGCTTTCGCTGTTTGAATGGAGCCAGTGGTCCTTTTGTCTATAGAAAGCCGTCCACTAAAGCAGCCACCCTGCTCGTGCACCAAAATGATCCTCCTCTGTGCGCCTCAGATGTCTAATCATCAATGATTCTCTTTGAAATTTTGCTCTGTCAAATACTGCATTCAAACCAAGAGCCAGCACTAAATTCTCACTGTGTAGGCTGTGTGCTGATGAGCCACATTACCCTGCACACTCTGAAATGTGTTCACGGTGATTGAAGGCAATCATGTTATTTGATTCATGGATGAAGTGCAAATAATGATTCTTCTGTCAGAACGTTGGCAACTATGTACCTCATCCAAATGCAGATTACAAAAATCAGCTGCATTATTTTTGCACAAGCAAAACTCAGCAAAGGAAGACTGCTGGCATAGAAACTGCGGGAGTTTAGTTGTCGTATGGATTGATGGTGCAGACTTTATATGTGACTAGTTTAGTCCCATTACAAACATTGCACTCTTGTGCATGAGCTCTGTTGGTTAGTCCAGTTCAGAGCTTCCATATTTCTGCACTGATGTACTGCTCATCAGATGCTGTAAATGCCATGTAATTTTAATCAGTACCATTATGCACAGTTTTGGTTTTAAGGTCTATAGCTTTGGCTTTAGCTGCAGAACAGTCTATCTCAGCAAGTTCCTTCAAAAGTTAGTAGTGAAAGTAACATATATTTAATGTCAGTTTTTCATTGGTCTTATTTAAGAGTGTATCTGAAGTAAGAGATCTGTGTTCTGTATATACTCGTATGGGATTCCCATAATGTGGCCTGTTTTTAGAGTCATTTGTTTTGAGCGCTGCAGCCTGCCAACACCCCCTACTACTACTTGTGCTACTACTGGTAGTACTACTAGGTTTCGGTTGTATTAAGAGTGCATCAATATTGTTAGTTTTGTTTTTATTTTAGAAAAATGAATAGTTT